ATTGAAATGCAAACATTTGATACCAATATTGTTGCGAAAGGCTACCGTTAATGATTACAGTTGAAAAAGTTTATTGTAGAAAACTGAACCATTTTAAAGTTTAATGGAAAAAATCGATATATCTCTAAAATCTAATGCCTAAATTGGTGTCGTTTTGTCCACGTTATCACGGTGACGGAAAGTTTTATTCATGACATCATGCTGTTAAAATTTAACGATCCAATGGCAAAGTTAAAATTTAATAATATAATTAAAAAATTAAAAATTCAGTTATATAAATAATATACCGTATAAAATATAGAGGTATCTTATATAGTTTACCCCAATAAAAATTAGAGTTGGTGAAATTTTGTATACAAGGTGCGATTGAATTGAATCGCTGCATGGCATGATTGTTTTCTCCCGGGATTGATATCCACATGGGCCCGTATTCAATGAAACCCAATTTCTAGATCAATAATGCATTTTTTTACTGGGTCCCCTTTCATATGGTCCAATAACATATTAATTTCATTGTATGATTAGTTTATGGCATCAACCAAATTATTCTGTTGATAAATTAAAAGATTTAAATTATTCCGACTTCGTAATAATTAACAAAATAATTAATTAATAATAAATTTTATTTTAAAATATCCAAATGTGTATTTTCATCGAATTTATAGACTCAAATTGATGGAAGTAAAAATAATATATTAAAATAACGTAAAATCAACAATCAATTTAGAGGTTCCTAGATTGATTATCTCATAAAAAATTTAAGTTTTCATATAATTTAGATTTTTTAATATTTTTATGCTTAAATTTTATAAATCCATTCATAAAATTTTGTAAACTCATTGTAATATAAAATAAGATAAAGTACGCATATGGTCCTTCGACTATAAGATATAGTTTTATTGAGTCCAGTTACAAAATAATATTCCGGTTATTCATATGTTCCTAACTCGTACTTTTTTGTTAAAAAATTGACGGCAATCTGAGTTGGACTTTAATCTTCTAACTGAGATATAATAAAATATGATCTTTAATTTCAAATGACTATTATATCTCAGTCAGTATGTTAAAAACGACTGTTAATTTTTTTAACAGAAAAATAAGAGTTTAGAACATAATAAATAGTTAGGCCATGATTTTATAACTTTTAATAATCGATGGAGTAATCAAAATAACGTATTATAATCCATAAACTACTTTATAATTTTTATTAATTAGATAATTTAATAAACTAATATCCTATGGGTGAAACCATTTATATACTTTAAAATCTTTGATGGTTTTGACTTGATCAAGTCATGGACTGACCGGATCTCCACATGAAAGTTGTCAACATTTATTTGAAACCGAATTATGATTCAAAAGAGATTTGACTTTGGACTCTATGAAAACGACTAATCAATTAACCAATAAATGTTTTATACATTTTCATTGGTGGTTTGATTAGAACACCAACCCGGATCCTTCGTCTCTCTCGTTAGCCAAACATTACTTCCACACCATCCGGCCTACAGGTAAATTCCTTTTTTCTCATCGTCTTGTATGAATTCAAGAATTTTTCAAACTTGTTTAATGAACGATGAACCAAAGGACAGTTTACCCAACCCAAGATAACAGTCTTTCTTCTACATTCACAGTATATATCCATACTTATATCAGATTGTGAAATCAGCAATGGAGAGATTATTAAGAGTTTAGATAGCAAAGAGATGCGAATGGAATCCTGTCGCAAGGGAGATGGTGTATATTTCATTTGTATTCTTGAGATACACATCATCTCTCTGCGTCAGGATTCATGGTAATCTCTATCAGGTTATCTTGGCATTGTCTGCAGGTTATCTTGGCATTGTCTGCAAACATTAACAAGGTCGGTGCACTATTTCTGTTATCTTTTTCCATCTTTTTATGGTATAATGAAACAGCACTGTAGGGACATACGAATGGGTTGCAAAATGCAAATATTAGGGTTTCTTGAATCGGGGTTAAGTAGTTTCCGATGATATTACTTGCATTGCTGCGGTCGAAATTTTTTTTTGGATAGAAGAGAGCCGATCAAAGTTTGCAACCTTGTTGCTCCGGGGCCAGGCTTGATGACTCTTGTATTACCGATAACAGAACAAGGATCACTCCCATTTTGCCCACTTCCCACACACCAACCACCAGGAGTAAACATGCCTGGACCCCGAGACAAGAGCTCCGAGTCGATCTCGTCGAGCACCGGATCGTCCCGAGGGAACTTTCTGGCGAAAGGGGCATTGCTGTTAATCATCCGTTGCATGTCGGTAAGCTTGAGGAGATGAGGATGCTGCTTAGGAGGGTTATCCCATGATATAAAATGGAGGTCACTGTTTACTGTAGTGTTACGGAATTCTCGAGCATTACAAATCACGGTGTGGAAGTAACCTTCAGGAGAAGATAAAAAGTTGGCGTAGTACATGAGGATCGTTCGAGGTAGGCTGTCCCATCCCCAAATGCAGTAATCCATGAAAGATCGAGACAGTGCCATCCAGGCAGAACCTGTTGCAGACGAGATGTTTTTCAGAATGCCACTAATTCCATGGCCATTAGCAAACAAACAAAAGATACAATTTCAAGTTAATTTCTGTGCTCCCCACTAGCAATCCTTTATGCAGGCAGTACAGGTGTAAACACGTTCGAATGAATAAAGTTGTTTTCATGTTTGTTTATATTTTTTAAATTTTTTATGTTTGATTTATATTCGTTTAAATTTTTAATATTATGTTTGTGTTCTTTTATTTATTTTTTAGAGTGTTCGTGGTCAGTTCATTTAACGTTCACGAACATTAAACGAATTAATTTATTCAAAAATGGTGAAATTACACCATTAGTTCTTAAGCTCCTTTCAATTTAGTCCCTATATTCACCAATATTTAAAATGTAAAAAAATAAAAGAAAAAATAGAACTTGGTAAACCCGCTTATAAATGAGCCGGTAAATGAATTTATAATGAGCCAATAAACGAGTTTGTTCGTGAACATAAACAAATCAAATACACCGTTATTTGTGTTCGTTCATTTATTATATGAACATAATTTTTTCATACTCATTTATTAAACTTAATAAATGAATATAAACAAAAATTATACGATCGATTCACAAACAATTCATTGAACACTCTTATTTATTTACGGCCCTAGCAAACAGCTATGCATTCTTTATGTGCATTTAGAATGATGCTGCAACGTAGGACAATTCAAATCTAAATATAGTACTAACAAACACAAAAACTTTAAGAGAGTGGAAGGTTTCATCATGTTTGCCTGTAAAGAGTTTGAATGCAGTAGGTACACTTCTCCTCTGAGTAACCCAGAACACATCAGATTTTTTCACACTATACAACCCTGGATCTATAATAATCGGATTTGCTCTGTGAAACCTGTCATTTACAACAACGAAAACCCCATTAATCACTCAGTTTCCAGAAATAAATGTTACCCAGAAGTGGAAACTTTGAGGAAAATGGAAATATCAATGCTTTAAAAGTACTCACTCCTTCCACCCAATACTGCTAGTATGATCAATGAAATTCAGATCCCTTGGCAAGTGTGAAAATGTGTGAAACAAATCTGAAAAAATAACCATAACCGAAGATAAAAGAATGGGATAAAAATTCAATTCTTGGAATATCCAAACTCACCATCTTGAGTAACAAGGGGATAATCAGATGCACTGAGATTAATAAACCAATCCCAGTCTCCACCTTCTTTCAACAAAATTGCAGCAGCGTGAAGCGTATTAGCAATCATAGTAGGACCTCTATAAGTAACCAAATTAGCTTTCACGGTCATCCTGACATTCCCAAATTTGTTAAACACTTGATGGTGTTTCACATACTTCTCCAGATCGAGCCTCTCTTCGGAGCTAGCTTCCCGGTCAAGATGAACTACGTATTGATTCAAAGGATGGTAAAGGGCTAAAAGGGTCCTTCTCAGCATCCGGCAGTCGCCGGCGGAGCCCGAAATGAGGTAAGCGAAGCGGGGAGGTGGAGGGAGGGTGGAGACAGGGATGGGTTTGAGTTGGTTCTCCACGAAAGGGGAGGAGCCGCCGAATACGGCGGAGGGATGGTAGAAGAAAAGAAATGGAGAGTCGTCGAAAGAGGTCAATGTTGATAAAAAGAGGGAAAACAATGAAACGATGGAGCCAACAGCTAACGGCAACATCCATTTTCTCACCATTGCTTGATTACTGTTGTGGCGAAACTGCGTTTAACTATATGTTCTTAATTTCGTCATTATTTTTAAAATCATTTTTGTTGTTGTTGGCTTCTCCCCTTCTCCATGTTTTTGTTGTTTTGTAGAAAATTTCTCCTGATAAACCAATGTGGACGGCTGTTATTTTAAGTTTTTTTCTTTTAAATAATTATAAAAAAATATCTATTTAAATTATTTGAATTTTACACAAACACACCTACTAGAATTTAAAATCTCAACTAAAACGAAGACAAGGGCTACTAATAAGTAAATGGCGACTAATCAAGCTTTCGGTTATTTCAACGTTGGGGCTATATTTTAGTCATCAAGATCTACAAAATTTCATTAAAATCACTATAATTAAGGAAAACTTTCGTTTCGATCATTGAATCGTAAAATCATTAACAAAAGCTTATCTAACCAATTTTGATTAAGATCACTACAATTAAGGAAGACGAATGGATCACTCGTATCTGAGTTTTTAGTTTCAACCTATTTCCACTAAGATGTTGTAAACATGGTGAATGAGGATAAGGATTTTGTTTTAGACAAAGATGATGGAGGATTTTGTTCCAATTCTGTGAGCTTATGTTATTTTATATGTATGTTTGCTCAAATGAATAAAATACGACTGATTGTTGATGATAAAATTTAATTTTTTAAATACTAGTAATAAAAATATAAGATAAAATATATATAATTTGAACGGCAAAGTAGACCCGGCGGGGCAGTCGCTCATCGTCTCCTATTCCTCATCTTTACATATTAAAAAAGAAAAGAAGAAGAAAACAATCACGTGGAGCCTGTTAACACTGTTTCCCCTTTTTTGCACTCAATAGCTCCGGTAAATTTAGTGAGTTTTCCGACAAATGTTGCCGGCTTCGCATCGATCATCTCCATCTTGGTGAATTCATAATGTGGAGATTTGAGTGGCCCCGATGTCCTAAAACGAGCTCCGTTCAACAACAAATCTCCTTCCGATCTCCATATCCACTTGCTCCATTCCGACTCCGGTGCATAGTTTCTGTTCGTTACCTCTTTCGCATTGTTGTCTTCCAGTGCAACGAACCTGTTGCCTTGGCTGATGATGGTGGGATGCATGCCGCCACTAAGGGCGTACATTTTCCAATGAGTTAAATCATTATTAACAACATGAAAGAAACCCAACCTATACATACGATCCTAAGATTTTATGTCAAAGGAGTGAATTTTTAAAATTTTAGAAGAAAATAAATATATAATATTATAGAGAAAAAAATATTATCAATAGAAAATCTAAAATATATGATAATTTGATCTGTCCATCCTTATCTGCATCTCGGCATTCTCTGTATCAATTCTTTGCCAAAATGGTTGAATGTTACCGTGACCTGCATCAGTTTCTCTTGCGTAGCTGTCACTTGCATCCAATAAGATCACATAAACCATATACCATTGATTATGTGATGTATTGGTGAAAACATGTGTGATGTGAAGAACATGGTGTGGAGTGTGTATGTATTTACGTCGTTGTGATGGGTGAAATGACAGTTTGAGATTGTGATGGCCGTGGAATCTTGGATTGCATCGATGAGTCCGTCTTGGCATTCCAACATCGAAAGGTGATCGAGCCAAATGTTTGTTGATCCGAATATGTTTGATGCCATCTCCGTCACCCATTGTCTGCTGGCCGTAATGACCCATCGAGTCCCTTATCACGGCCCCCTTGCTTGGAAGGATGTGATGAACATGAATGCCATGGATGATGACATCATGCACAAATTGAATCGTGATGCCGGCTCCGTATGCGATATGGACGTTCGCTCCACGACCATCGATAGTCTTCTTGCTTTGCATAATTAGCTCATGCGACAACTTGATGTGCATGTCACAAGCGAAAATGATCCACAATGGCTCGTCCCGGATCACGGCCCAACGTAAAGTTCCCGGTTTGGGATTTAACATATCGTCGTCGGAATCGTCATTCACCACATAGTATTCACCATCCTTTTCTCCTTCAGTTTTGTGGCCGAAACCAACCACGCAATTCTCTAGCTTCTTACGGTTTTCGGCCCAGTCATCCCTATGACGCCCGCACGCGTAAATGGGGTTGGTCGCCATGCATGGACCCTTGTACTTCTTGTGTTTTCCCCTCAAGGTCCTCCTGCTGGTCGTGTATCATCACCATCAACCAAGCCCCTCGTCTCGGCACTGGATTTTTAAGAGCCCTGAACCAAATTGTCCATCAAATACAATTAATTATAACACACACATATATAGAAGTTATGTTTAAGATTTTCAATTTAACATGTTGATTGAATTTCCTGGTGACGTTTTCTGGGTTAGGATCATAAGCTGCGAGGGTGTTCTTCCATGCCCGTAGCGCACGTTGCTTCCAGACTTCATCATATTCAGAAATATTATATCCCCACAGGGCTAGATTAGTGTGGCAAATGAAAATGGAAAGACCGGTCTTGTCTTCATTCCTGTTCCTCTCTAATCTGTCTTCGTTTTCGTGTTCTTTCCGACGTTGTGGTATACAAAAGGCCCTAGGATTTAAGACTGAACAGTAACTACAAGTTCAATCGCAGTTAAACACCAACAAAAATTGGTGTAAAGGTGACTTCTCTAAGGCACTAAGCTCTGCTAAGTGCCAACTTTTCAAGGTTGGCCAACTATTATTTCTCTTATTTACTTATTATATATGTGGAATTCAACAGCCTTTTTTTCCTGGGGGGGGGGGGGTTTAAATAATGCTTACGAGGAAACTTTGTGGTTCTAAAATTAGTGCGTAGAGAACGGGCAACCATGCTTTACAACATACTTTAAACCACGCACTTTTCTTTCTCCACAAATACCTGAGAAATTGTAGGCGTCGACTTTTTCATTTGATTCAAAGCCGTATAAACACGAATATTGCTGTATGTGCCGGAGAACGGTACATGAGAGTAATGACTAAAAGAGAAATAAGACAGGCTTCCTTGAGCTCGATGAACTAACCACAATGCATTCTGGCTTGTGCAGTTCTACTTATACAATGAAACAGTGAAATATAGTAAAACAATCCTTGTCGAAGAAGCATGGGGATACGGATACGGACACAGACCGGATTCTAAATATCAACATATAAAAGCTTGAGCCTATTGTTCTTTTGCTTTAGGCTTTGGTGATGGAGAAGCATGGGGACCGTTTGAACTGGATAAGCTTCTCATAGGTTGTCCGTTCCTCATTACGAATCCTGCCTGTGCTCTGATGCCATTTTTGGCAGTTAAGTTGGAGGACCTAGAACGATCGGATTGCATGGCTTGGAAGTAATAGGAGGAGCTGGCCATGTCTTTAAGGTTTGGAAGGGGCTTTAGGGTTTCAACAACTTCACTCATCCGAGGTCTGGCTTTGGGATCTCGGCAAAGACATTGTGCAGCCAGCTGGGCAGCTTTAAGTGCACCTTTGACTGAAAAGTGCCCTTCAAGGCGAGGATCTAAAACCCGGAAGAACCTTCTCTTGTCTCCTAGATGCGGTCTAGCCCATTCCACAAGATTGTGCTCCCCATTTGGCCGGTTTTTGTCCATGGATCTCCGGCCAGTCAACATCTCAAGTAATACTACTCCAAAGCTATACACATCACTCTTCGATGTCAAATGACCTAATTAATAACCGTGTTAGATTTATGTAACCGATGATTTAGATAATAATGAAACAATCTTAGAAGAAAACAAGTTTCCGATTAAATTGTTATGCAGTTCGGTTAACACAAACATTAAAAGCGAGCTAATTCAAAAACCGGAGCAGCAAGAATGTTGGACATAATGAAAACTAGTTTCAGAAATAAAGTGGTAATTCTACCACATACCAGTCATTACATATTCAGGTGCAGCATAGCCATATGTCCCCATGACTCGAGTAGATACATGAGTTTTATCTCCTTCGGGACCATCTTTCGCCAGTCCAAAATCAGAGAGCTTGGCATTGTAATCCTGAAATTTGCAACAGTTTTTTAAAAAGAAAAAGAAAATAAAATTAAGGAGGGAACTTAAAAATTTTCAGTCTCGTCTACATACCGCATCTAACAAGATATTCGACGTTTTAAAATCACGATAAATCACTGGTCTTTCCGCTTCTTCGTGAAGAAAGGCAATACCCTTTGCAGCACCAAGTACAATTTTCATTCTAATAGACCAAGGAAGTGGCAAGGACCCTTCTGCGCAAAAAATGGTTATTACCAGAGAAAATTAGGCATCAATCAACCATGAATTTGCAAATGCATAAGGGAACAAAATAATCGTAATAAACCCTAGCAAATCATCGGCCACACAAAAGGCATAGTGAAACAAGAGGTGACTATGTACTTCTGAAGAGGTGGTTCTCCAGACTTCCTCGTGGCATAAACTCGTATACTAGTAATCTGTGATCATCTTCAATACAATAACCAACCAATTTAACCAAATTAGGATGGAGGAGGTTGCCGAGAAAATCCACTTCAGCCTGCCATATGAAGCAAAACAAGAAAGTTCAATATAAAATATAGTATGAAAGAAACATTATTCACAGAAAGGAAACAAAACAGATTCGGATTCAAACCAGCCATTCTTTGTGACCCTGAAGTCCATCGATGTTTAGGGTTTTGACAGCTACAGTAAGCCCCGTACCGGGTTTTACGGGAGCAGTTCCGTTCTCCTCAATCCAGCCTTTGAATACACAACCAAACCCACCCTCACCTAGAAGACTTTCAGGTCTGAAATTCCTGGTAGCTAATTTAAGGTCAATAAAAGTGAACTTCCGAAGTTGTGAAGCGACTTTCAATTCCTCACTGAATTTCAGTGTGGATGAAGTACTTTCCGCATTACTAGTGGTTGTCGAAGACACTGGAACAACTGGTTGATCTCTGCTGTTCTCTTTTGTAGGTTCGCTTTCCGCTGAATTTGTAAACAGACCAAAGTCATTAAGCTTGATGGTTATAAAGCAATAATCAAAACTATCAACTTCCATATACCATATGCATTTATCATACACTAAGGATCAGTTTGTTTCCAAGAAAAATATACGTCAATATGAACAAGATTGATCCCTTAAAGATCAATCCTTGTCACTCTGCTTTAACTTCTATTCTTTCAACTAATTGACCACATTCAGCAGAAATTACCCCTCAAAAACATGTAAAAGGACATCACTAATTGGTATTTATTCTCAGTAAAAACACAAAACCAGATTTTTTCTCTGTCTGATTTATACTGTAAAGATGAGTTTTTTTTAACACAAAAATACTTGGCTATAACCTTAAGATTCTCTATTCTTTTTATTCACTTGAATATATATATACTTACATATATATAATATAATATAATATAATATAATATAATATAATATAATATAATATAATATAATATAATATAATATAATATAATATAATATAAGAAAATTGAGGATCAAAAATAGTTGTTCAAAAAAAGGAGAAAGGAAAGAGAAGATTACCATAATGAGTGCTTGTTCTTCCGCTGACAGAGTTATCAACTCTTGATCTTGAAGACATGCAACTTCCCATGAACCTCAATTTAACCCAACACCCTGTTTCTTCTTCTCCATCGTCTCTCTTCTTCCTTGATGAATTTTTCCCCACCACTTTTCTAGATTCATTACCAAAACCCATCTTTCCAGAAACTGATCTAAATTCCCTCAAAAACCAAACATATTTTCAACACCCAGAAAATTTTTCAATCATTTAAAAAAAACATCTCAAAACAAGTGATTTCAAGCAAAATTAAAAAGAAAAAGGATCTTTAGCTGGGAATCACCAAGACCCAGATTATGAAATTTAGTCAAAAGGAAAAATTTGAGTAAGAGGAAGACAAAGGAGGGCTCTGCTTGTGAAAGAGGGAAAGTGTTCAACAAAGGGCAGTTTGCGCAGTTTGAAACAGATAAAGGGGCAGCTTGGGCAGGAGATAGAAACAAGAGAGAGAGAGAGAGAGAAAAAAAAATATTCCTTGCTGTTAACAACAGTAAACAGAGCATATTCCAAACCAAATATATATAATCATACATAATGTTAGAGAAAGAACACGGAAGTGGATATAACTAAAAGATTTTGTTCTGTTTAATGTTTGTCTTTGGTCGGGTTAACATTATCTTTCATCAAAAGATAAAGATACATCACGTTCCATTGATTTGAGCATATTCATGATTTAATATCATCAATACATGATTATGACTCTATATTTATAACAAATTATTAATTTGACTCTGTATAGCTCAGCCTTCATATTGTTTATATTTTTAAGTGTTCAGGGAGCACCGTTGACGACACATCTTTACGGTATGTAACTCTATTATTCTTTGATTCATTTTAATATACTCAATGTTTGTTCGAAGCTCTGATTTTGATTAAATATTTATATATTGATTTATTTGATATGGATGTTTTGAAAATTAGTGTACACATTTAAAGAATATTCTAAAATTTTAAAATCCAATGGTTGTTTTGATGGTTCAATATGATTAAAGAAAATATTATTCTTCTTAAAAAAAATTGAGTTCGAGTAATTACGTCTTTATGATATGTGTTATCAATAATTAAAAAAAATCTAAACATATACTACTACCTTATAATCACTGCAAACTATTTCGAGAAAAAAATCACGACATTAATTACATCACATACTTGTCAATTAACATGTTTAAATTCCACTATTAGAATAAATAAATTGATTTTGACATGTGATTTAGTCTATGATAATAAATGCAATTCTAAGAGAATAAGAATATGAATAGTATGGTTGAAGTTTGAGAAGGGAGGATTATCTAATAGATAGGTGTGTCACCCATTAGTGAAGGTGGGGTTGGTATACCAACATCTACCACCAATTTCACACATACCAAATATTTCTATTTATTTATTTGGGTTATAATATTTAACTTTTATTTATATAAATTTTATTATCAAATTTTAAACTTAAAAATTTAAATTACTCTGACTATTTGTTTTTTTTATAAAAACTTATAACTATTAAATATTTATTTTAAAAGTAGTATTCTCAATTAGTATGATCGAATATTAAGTTGAATAGAAACTTTTTTATGTGTGATTAGTACAAATATATTACTAAATTAAATCATGAATTTACTAAAATATAAATGGATGTCCATTGTTCTCATATGTAATGGGGTAAGGGGGAAGTAAGATAGTAGGCTGCCCCCAACACTAGGTTGAGAGCAACTTCCGTAGGAGACCTCCAAATTATGAAATGCCCTCCATATTTGATTACTAAAATATTTCATACATATATTTTAAAGGCTAATATTCTAAGTTAATTACACCTCTTGAAGCATATATATAATGATGTATTATTTACCATATTTGATTTTATATTGGTTTTGGAAAAATTTTAGATCAAGTATTATACATCAATATGCACCATTAATTTTATTATTTTCACCCTTTCAACTACGTACTTTAGGAATAATTTTATTATTTTCACCCACATGTTGTGTAATAGGTTGTTATAAGTTTTATACATAATTAAGATTAACGTTAAAACAACAAAAAGTTTTTTTTTATGAAATATTTAAGTTTAGGGTTAATTGCATTATATGTCCTCAAACTATGATCCTTAATTTAAGTTGGTCCTATTCTAATTTCATCCCAAACTATATCTCTCATTCTAAATTAATCCTTACACTTTTGAACATTCTAATTTCATCCCAATTTATGACCCTTATTTCAAATTGGTTCCCAAACTTTTGAATCTTTTAATTTCATCCCAGATTCATCCAAATATGTAATTAGTTCTAACCATAGTTTAACAAAAAAATATTTTTTAAAGTATATAATGATATAACTTGGTCTGAAGATTTTATTAACAATAGATGTGATTAGCATAGACATATAGTTTGGGATGAAATTGAAATGTTCAAAAAGTTTGATGACCAATCTAGAATGAAGGTCGAAGTTTAGGGATGAAACTGAAATATTCAAAAGCTTGAGGACTAATTTAGAATGATAATCATAGTTTAGGGATGAAATTGGAATATTTAAAAGTTTAGGAACCAATTAAGAATGAGGATCATAGTTTGAGGAAATGTGATGTAATTAATCCATTCAATTATTAAATTCCGCTAATCCAATTATTTAGAAATAGCATTAAAAAGCAAAAGAGTGATTGAAAACCTATTTACAAGTTGAAGCGTCAACCAAGCAGCCGCTTGAAATTTAAGATTTTCTCTGTTTCCATCACTCGAGAAAGGCAATTGTCACATGAAGAATTATCCTTCACTGTGCCTCTCCTTGAAGATGAAAACAAACAAGTAGAAGAATTAGAGACTCATAGCAGTGCAGCAACCAGTGTCTCTGTTTCTAGAACCTGTTTCAATGGCCTCAATGCTCTTTCAGGTTCACTTTTCTTCCTTCCTTCTTCATCTTACTTCAGTTTTCAACATATTCATTTGGTTTATATATATATATCAGAAACCCTATTTTTATGCAGGGGTAGGGATATTGTCAATCCCATATTCAGTTGATACTCCTCTTCGCCATAGCCACTGCTGCATTCTACTCGGCCTTGTTGATTCAAAGATGTATGGACACAGTTCCAAGAATCGGAACTTATCCCGACATAGCCGAGCGTGCATTCGGGTACAAAGGGAGACACAGCATCGGTTGTTATGAACATCGAGCTCTACTTAGTGGCGGCTGGTTTTTTTATTCTCGAAGGAGATAACTTGCATAACTTGTTACCCATTGGAGAGCTCCAAGTTGGAGGACTAAAAGTTGGTGGGAAACAAGGGTTTATTATAATCGTATCTCTCATTTTGCCTACTGTTTGGTTGGATAACTTGAGCCTTCTGTCTTTCGTATCAGCCAGTGGGGTTTTGGCTTCAGCAATCATCTTGGTTTCCATCATCTGGACCGGTGCTTTTATGGTATCGGGTTTAAACAAAAGGGAAAATTCGTAAACTGGGATGGAATTCCCACTGCTGTTAGCCTATATGCTTCTGTTATTGCATTCCCTTTACACTTCAATGAAAAAAAGGCACCAATTCTCCAATGTAAGTATCTGCAATGTTCGTATTGTTTCTGCAATAGTCTGATTGGTTTTGAGGTGAATTTGTCTGGTTTCTTTTAGGTCCTGGTTGTATGCTTTGTCTTGTGTACCATCTGTTACTCGTCTACGGCGATTCTCGGGTACTTAATGTTCGGATTAGCTGTTCAATCACAGATAACTTTGAACCTTCCTACTGACAAACTCAGTTCAAGGATTTCAATATATACCACCCTGGTCAACCCCATATCGAAATATGCATTGATGGTATGGTTACACCGATTGTGAATGCCGTTAAGAGCCTGATTTGGTATCGATGCGAGAAGCGAGTCCTCCACGTCTTTGACGGCACCACACTGGTGATCAGCACCGTTTTGGTGGCTCTTGTGGTTACCTTTTTCGGTTCCCTCGCGTCCTTAGTTGGAGCATTTTTAAGTATCACGTCTTCAGTCACTCTACCATGCGTCTGCTACTTGAAGATATCGGGGACTTACCAGAGATTCAACGGAGAACTGGTCGCTGTAAGCCTAATCGTTTTGATGAGTGTTGCAGTGGCTGCATTTGGTACTTACACATCTGTATTGGAAATAATAGGCAACTTTTAAACTCCAATGGTTTTGTATAATCATTGTTTTGTTACAACAAGATGCATTAATTCAAATCGAACTGAAGGGTAGAACCGTAGAAGGTTTGAATGTTAATTTTCAATTTATCATAGTTACCATTGATACAAATTCCTTAACTGCCAGAAACCACTTTGTAAATAAAGTTCGAAATTTCAAACCCTTTAAATATCAAACCATAACCCCCAAACTTTCATTTCTTTACCATCAGGCTGTTATCTTTTCCGAAAACAAAATGGAGGAAACTGACCATGGAATTGGCATTAAAGTTTACACTGCAACACCACCACATGAGAACCCTACACCAATCTCCTCCCTCCCTCGCCTGCCTTCGGAACCCGGCCGCAAGAGGAGAGTCGTCGCCAAAGGGGTTCAAAAAACCATATCCAAAACTTCCATGCTAGTCAACTTTCTACCAACAGGCACCCTTTTAACTTTCGAATTGGTTCTGCCTTCTGTTTACCGTCACGGTGTTTGCACCCATGTTACCACCATGATGATTTACTCCCTCTTAGGCCTTTGCGCGGCATCTTGTTTCTTCTTCCATTTCACCGATAGTTTCCGAGGTCCCGACGGGACAGTTTACTACGGTTTTGTCACGCCCAATGGATTGGCCCTTTTCAAGCCTGGGCTAGAAGTCGAGTCTCCGAAAGATGAAAAGTACAAGGTAGGACTTACTGATTTTGTTCATGCTGTCATGTCGGTGTTGGTATTTATGGCGATCGCTTTCTCGGATCATAGAGTTACCAACTGTGTTTTCCCAGGACACGAGAAGGAGATGGATCAAGTCATGGAAGGTTTCCCATTGATGGTGGGGATTATTTGCAGTGGCTTGTTTCTTGTGTTTCCCAAAACCAGATTTGGTGTTGGTTGCTTGGCTGCTTGATAGATTTAGTGTCTTAGTATAGTTAAATATTAATTTCCAAATGATTTTGTAAAGAATAAATTTCTTCGACAATCCAGGGCTTCTGCCTGCAGAAGAACGTTACACTGTTAATGGTTTTGTATTCCCCCCCCCCCCTGATTTATGGAAGTATTAGATTAAACCATTGGTTTTCTTCAATCTCAACGGTGAGATAAAATGAAAGGGAAACGAAAAAACTAAAGATTGAAAGCAAATCTAAAATAATTATTTTGGAAAGCAACAGATCACGACAGGGATAATGCATCAGACATAATGACAGCACCTTGCAAATGTTCAAAGGTTAGGAAATTAACCCACAAAATCATCCGAAAAACACCAGTTGCAGAAATTTTAATACATCTATACCGTAGACTTGCAAAGGATACATTTTTTCTATAATTATACTCGGATGCGAGCTCCGTGTAATAGGGAATTCTTTCCGGGGTCAAACTGCAAAATAGGAGCAACTTGATAAGAGACCTGCAAAACCCTTCGATAGGCAACCTTCAATTGCACAAGGAGACTTGGAAGAACACATTGGACTACTGTGTTTGGCAATTCCCATGCAATCATCAGATGAATTCTGGGGAGGATTATCTTCCCTATTAACCGATCGCTGTGCAATCAACTTACTTCTCTTAGAATTCAATGAATAATTCATGCCTGGCGAGTTCAAGAAGTGCGAATCGGAAGACTCCATCTCATCGTCTTGACATTCAGGCAATTTCCTCTTCATCCCAGGATATACTCTTAATCCTGCCGCGTGATATCATTATAATTAACATCAATTATCTATTGCACAGCTCATATTTGCAAGAAACTTATACAAAGGTAAACGTGAAAGCTAGTATACGACATACCAGGCAAAGTGTCCTCGTATGCAGAGGACTGCGACTCCAAATCAACACAGCAGCAGAAAACATTTGAATCTTTGTTGGATCCCGAAATTCTGCAGTGGGGAGCAAGTAGGGATAAGGGGTTGCAGGCATCTAGGTATAGAGTGCAATGCAATAGCATTAGTTTAAGGGTTAATGCACTTTTTGGGCCCCGACTTTGAGATTTTTTTAATATATTTTTCCTCAATTAAAAATTTTAATTTGTATCAATTAAAAATAATTAGGAGTCAAATTGTATATCAAAGTCAGGTGCCAAATTGCACCAAAAAGAAATCAGGTCAAATTGCCGCTTAATGCCAAAGTCGGGAACCAAAAGGTACATTAATCCTTATTTTTATTAAAACATGCCGGATGATTGACACCATGAATGACACAATGACACAATCAATGCAAAAATGAATATGGGCAAGTGATCTTATAAGAGTTATTCAGTAAAATACAAAAATGAAAAGATTAAAACTGAAAAAGTAGGACGATATAACAAAAGGCTAAAATTTATGTTGCTTAGACTCGAGAGGTAAGTATTAGGGACGAGTATACACCCAACATGGGTAAGCTCAACTATTTGTAAGTTTTAATCACATAAAATTTCCATGTCCGTATTCCTATACCAAACACCAGGATTGGACACTGATACTTCAGGGAAAATAAAGAGTTGGAATATATTAAAACGATCACAGTACGAACTTGGAATTGTAGCCTAATATAAACCACGTAATTAGAAAATACCCGTAAAAATTTCCATGATCACATAAAATGCTCAAGTATCGAAACCAAACCTGTACATATGCTCCACAAAGTCATCAATCAGAACAGGCCAAGCACCTGCAAAATAACCAGACAACTAAGATCCAAGTAGCACAGATATACAAGACAGGCGATAGGGCAGATTTAGGGAAGCTTAATACCTTCGGGATCATAGCCTTCCAGATTTTCATGTACACACCTACTAAAAGCTAAAACTTGCTGCCAAGTATCCTCCGAAATATTGTGACGTTGATTTTCCTGAAAGGAAATCGAAGACATTAGTTGCATTAATCAAGAGATTGCCAGTAGTCATTAGCAGGTTTCAACCTATGGTGTACAGCCCAAGAGACTTATCCATTTTTTTTTTTTTTGATAGAAGAGACTTATCCATTTTCAAATGCTCAGCATGCACTATAAGGATTTTCAAAGGCATGTATAAGGCAACTAAAGTAAAAATACGGAGTGCCTCTCCCTCACTGACAGACAAAACTGGAGCAGCAGATGTCACTCCTTATATGCATGAATGCAGGATAACATCTTCTACCCATTACAGTAATAATAAATTATTTATAACCAATATCCCAATTCTGATAAACTTTTGTCCAAAATCAAAGTGGTCTATATTGGAACAACAACCAATAGTTTCACAAGATGTCTCCTAGACAAACATAAAGTGTTAGGCTGTTAGTAGCTCGGTACCACTCATGCTCATACCTCAACATATTTACACCATTTGTCAAGCAATCGAAACCTGCCTGCTAAGACTAATCTCCATGCAGCAACTGCCCTGCTTACAGCTATCAATCATGACAAAAGCCAGAGAATTAAATACAATACCTAGGAAATTCCTAGTACTTTACAGCTTAGATAAAATCGATGTTATTCTAACGATAAATCAGTAGAAGTATTTCGATGTAACTAATTAGCATGAGATGACTTACTGATATTCTTTTGACCATTTTCTCGGCACATGAAGAAAACAAAATCATAGAAGCATGAGAATTCAGAGAAGTCTGCCTACAGGAAACAACAGCAAGCCAAATTTTAGTATGGAAAACAGGATAAGAGAAAATAAAATCAGTGTACCAACAATGAAGAAATTTAAAGCTAAAGTCTTAAATACTACTTAAATCTCTCTCTCAAAGAACTTCAATGAAGAGGAATCTCACCGTCAGGTCTAGTTGCAACATTAGCTTGCGAAGTTCATCAAAGATCAAAGTACTGTCAAAGTAAACATAACTGATACTCAATCAATAGTGTATGACCAACAATTAGACCAAACAACCAATAAACAGGACTGGCTACAGAATCTTGTTTGGGCATTCAGCCCCCTTTGATAATCTCTTGGGGAATAATACATTTCTTTTTCACTCATAGCATAATCATAAATGACACAGTAGCGATCTACACATAGGAAGAATAACATGGTCGAGAAGGGCAATTGCCACTCAAGCAAACCAGGATCAAGCTGGAATTGGCAGATCCAAAACCTTGTGGTATCTTAGACGAGAACCACAAAAAAGGTTAATAATTTCACATGGCATCCCATAAATATTAAACATATACTTTAACTCCAACAATTTTTCAAGTGTCTTAAGACTCATCAACCAATTCTCTAATCCTCCTAAAGGCAAGCCAAACACCCTAAACTTATATCTACAGATTAGATACAAACACCACCAACTACCTTGTATGCATCCTTGACTCCACCATCTTTAACAGCTGATTCAATCCATCCTTCGTCGCTCTTTGCAATTCCTCATCTTGTCGGTACCCATCTTCACCATGAACATATGCATTTCCTGTTCTAGGTTCTGCAAGACAGCTTAAAAGCTAACTAAGTAGAGCAAACAATATATTTTTTTATTAAATTAAATTAAAGGTAACATCCCAATCACAGCACAAACATTTCTGAACAGGTCAAATTCTTAAGCTTTAAGCATATCAGTGACAGACCAAAATCTTAAACATTTAACTAATTCTTTGACCAGATCAAATTACCTTAATTACTTAAAATTTTAGGGTACTTAATCACATTAAATTTTTCCATAATTAAACTTCAAAATGACCAAAAATTGAACAAAAAAATCGTCCACCAATTATTAGACGATAAAAGTAACCCCCCACAAAAAAAAACCCTTATCCAATTCCCAATCTTTTTCACCCAAAATTAACATGTCAAATTTCCAATCCTTCCTATTATACATCAACCGAAACAAACTTTCTTTTGATAAACAAATGGAAACAATAAAGGAGAAAATATCATAACAATTTTTTAAAAAGTGAAAAAATTTACCACAAAATCGCAGGTAAATCTCGAAGATATCTAGCTGGTTTGGACCCAAAGATTCCATCGGAATCGCGACAGTCTGCGGAGCTCGGGCTAGTTCGGGTGTTCCTCCTATTATTATTGTTGTCAGGTGAGTTTAAAAGATAAACACAGAAATAACAAAAATTGGAAGTTGTTCTTAACGGTCTCCGCTTGGAAATTAAAGTCTCCTCTCTTCCTCTGTATTATACGAAAATGAGGTTTCCTTTGGATTTCGTTTTCTGAGGAAGAGAAAGAAAGGAAACGAAAACAAAAATACTGGTTTTTCGGTGAAATTAACAGGGGAATGAACCGGATCCCTTACGGTTCGGGTGAACCGGGTATTGTGAACGCACGTGACGCAGCGAACATTCATTATGTATCCATTCCCTCCCGTTCATTACCGATCACCTCGATTTTTTTTTCTTGTCATGCTACGTAAATATAATGTTCAACTATGTTAGATATATTGGACTTTGTACGATGATTCGTATATTATTAAATTTTTAGTTTTATCAATTATAATATTAAGTTTTAATTTTATATTTAATTATATTACTCTACTGTTAAGTTTTTAATAAGACGAGACATTACCAACTATTATAGATATGGTTTATCATATCAAAATAATTTCATTTTAGGTGTAATTATTTTGATGTTTAAAATAACATCGTTTTTTAAATTGAATTGTCAAAATTTACCCATTTTGTTACTGAATTTTTAAATAATTTACATTTTTTTGACAATGTGTCTTTGGTTGCCGCTAATAGCTAATTGATGTTCATCTCCAGTCATCTTTTGCAATAAAATTAATATCGTACGTTCATATTTCACACCTCTATTTTTCTATTAGAATCGATTTTAAAGTAGATACAATTATTAGTATATATAACCAAAATAATAAGATGAAATTGATTTGATTTTTTCATAATAAAATGAGATTGATGAGGTTCAATAATATTAATAAACATTACTTTAGTATAAAATATTAAAAGAAAATTGAAATTTTATTGTTACTTTAATATAGCATTGATTTTATTGAAATATATTCATATAATAATAGTATATAGTCAAAGATTTTTTTTTATAAAGGTGTTGAATTTTTTAGTACTCTATGAATATTTAAAATTTTTAATCTCTCTCGTTCAATTAGGACTCCAGTTCCTGATCCAATTTTCAACAAAAATTAAGACTGAGAAAAGGAAGTTTTCCGATCATTGACTCAAACCCATTGGCGAAGTCCGCACAGCAAAATAAGGGGGTGCTTATGGTAGAACGAGCCAATCTGGTATTTCACAATAAAATGATATATGGAACTGTCATTAAACGACTTATTAGCAGATTTGGACCTTTGGGACAAATAAAGGCGTTATGTGTTCCATAAAATTACCTTTTAATACAATTTCTTTTAAAATCGTGAAAATTTCATGTACTGATTCTTGAATACCTATTATGGTTGAATATTTGTGTGGTATTTTCTCAGATTTTGCACGTGTAATGCATGCTCCTTCTGTTTCTCCATGTAAAGCTCTTCGCATCGCAATGCTTGTTGTGTCTGCTTGGCCTTTCATAAGTGGAGACAGAATAAAGCGTCCATAATAAAGACGCTTACTATCTGTTATTGATTCAACGCACTTCCACTGTACTATCACAGCTGATGGCAACTCAGGTCATCTAACAAGCCAATTTCACATTATTAATTCAGTACATAATGAAATAAGTTATACGTTGGCCGAGTAAAATCCTAGAGGATATTAAAACCATCATACCTTCAACTAAATTAGCAGTCATCTTAAAACCAATACATAAATCAAAACCAATTTATAGTCTGGTGCTGGAAGAAATCAGACAAAAGATGAAGAACAAGTTTCGAATGTCATAATGCTACTGAATTTCAGTTTCGGAGTCGTAGAGTGAAACAATCATGGAAGTGAAGAACCAGCTAGACTTGCAGAGTGAAACAATCATGGAAGTGAAGAAACAAGAGGAAACAAGTATGCATGTCCGTCACATCCGAGTCGAGTAACATAAATAAGAGATATAACTTATGAGAAAGCACGGATGATGGATCTGGATGAGATAATAAGAGATATTACTTACTAGAAAGCACGGATGATGAATCTGGATGAGATAGTAAGAGACGAGCATGGTATGAGTTGCTGCACTGCAATGAAGATGTATTAACACAAGACAATGTACTAATATGAAGCTCAAAATGCAAGCGTCGTTAGGTTTCTATGCCCATGGATGTATCAGATCAAAGGAATCTGGAATATGTGCCAAAAACTACCTCGGCATTGACAGAATGATGCCGTCGTAACATAGCACAAAATGTTAACAAGGGTAAACAAAAGAGAACAACCTAAGACTCCTCTATACTTGCAAGGATTAAGGTAAGAGTTCAGATGCATCAGACAGATATCCGAAACGAACCGATCATTCAAGGACTGATCATATATAGGAACAGATGAAGAATCTTGTTTCTATCATCTGCATCAACAATATGTAAAGCATTGTTCATCTCAAAAGAAAATATTTACTTGAATATTTAACAATCGACATAACAATCTTCTCCATCTCATATTTTTTAACACCAACACTAATCAAACTGTTCGTCGTGACGGATAATAATCCGATTCTTCAACGGCACCTAATCAAGTAGACAGGAATTCTAGAAACTATAACTGCATAAAAGAAATAGCCTTCCTTTTGCTTCGGCGCACATCATCTATGATCTCATTGGCGATCAGCGAGCAGTCTGAAATTTGTCTTCCTTTTGGCATTTTTATTTTCTTGATCGAGCTTTTCATGTTTTTGTTGTAAAAGGGAGAAATGACACGCTTGTAGAAAAAACGACATGGGCTTTGATTGTAATAATGGGCTTTGAACTTTGCTTTTCCAAGAATTCAGTGTTTCCAATCATGTATTCATAATTAGGATGTTAATATTACTATGGGTTTTTGACCTAATTCAATTTCTTCGGGTCAATTTTCTATTTTGATTTGAATTGAATTAAATCGATTTGGATATTTTAAAGTTCATATAAAACTAAAAAATTTTGGTCCATCTTGATTTAATATGATATTATATTTATTATTTATATACATAATGACAATTATAATAATATCCTTTTTTATTAAGTTTGTGACATGTACGAATCTTAACCCAAAAAATCAGGTCGAATTTCAAATTAAATAGGATCTTCTCAAATTTAGATCGAATTATATGCAAATAAAGAATTTCAGTTTTTAAATCATATTCGAATGGACTAAAAGTTGAATCTAACCCGACTCGTTTCCATCACTATTCATAATTGTTTTCCAATAAGTATCTTATTGATGCAAGAATCAAGATCCAGATTCAAGCCCATTAAAATATTTATTTCATATTCGGTCAAGCCTTTGTTATTAACCCAGATTATGTTAATTTTGTTTTTCCTAATTTTACTTAATTAGTTAAGTAGTTGTTAGATTATCTTGTAAGATTCAGCTCAATAACAAAAGTTTAGTCATTAGGCTGAATTCTTCGAGTCCATTTAGAAGAATTTCAGCTTTTGTTAATTTCTTAAGAATTAAATTAATTTATGAGTTTTTTTATTCTCTTTTACTCTTTTTTATTTTTTATTATTATTGAAGCTATTTTAAAACTTATAATATTATTTATTTATCTCCTATTTTTCATCTTTTTATTTTTGTGAGTATTAACAAGTAGATTATTCATAAATAGATATGATTTAGGGTATAATATCAAGAGAACTTTTATTTTAAAGATGATTTTTAATAGTATTTTATTTTATTTCATTTCTAAGTGAAAATCTTATTCTAAACAAGACTTTTAAAGACAAACTCTTTGTACATGAGAAATTTGTGAAAAAATTTATTTATTATAATCTAATTTATAAAAATATTTTTTATTTTTTATTTAAATTAAAAAATATATTTTAATCATATAAATGTTGGGAATGAGTATTTATGGTTTAGAATTCACACTTCCTTGTTGAGTGAAAGAGAACAAGGGGAACTCTCGCGCGCCGCCGTCGCCGCCTGTCTCGGCTCGGCTCGTGGTCGTGGTCGTGGTAATACGTGTCTTCGACACGTCCGCGCGGATATTATCTTTGGACTGATATTTATAGGCTGCTGAGGACTATTTAAATTCGAATGATAACAGTTGGTTTATGAGAGTTATCAGAAATTAAATAACTTTTCCTAAATTAAATCAAAAAACGTTAAGATGTATTTGGACTGATTTCCAGCTTTGTACAGAGGGGACAAGCTGTTAATATTATCAGGAGTTATTTGATTTAATTCCAGGGGTTACATGATATAATTTCGAGAGTTATAACAGCTGAATAATGATGCAATGAACCTGGACTATTTTTGAGTCAGGTTTATCTAGACGTTTCAGCTGTTACAAAAGAAGAGATTTAATCCTGAAATTGTATAGACGATTTTAACTCTATTTATAGCCTATAAATAGAGGATTATATTCAGCTTCTCAATTCACTCTCAACATTCACAATTCACTCTCAAAATGTTTTCTGAAGTTATTCTTTATGTGCTTTCCGATAAGAAGAGCAATACCACCGGCAGTCCACTCCGATTTTGAGTTTACAAAATTCGGAGCGACCGTGTTAATCTCGGGGGACGGTCCGCCTACTGCAGCGATTACACACATCGGGTGAATTCGTTTCTAAGACAGTGGTTATACCACAACACGGTTTACGAATCTATTCCTTTTAATTACTGTTTCTATTTCCAGTCAGTGCTAACAGTGTAGTTTTGCCGTTCATATATCCAACAAATGTTAATAATTTCCGTTTATAAAAATTTAGAATTAAGATAATATCTTAAAAAATTGAATGAAAAGAGGTCGTGGGTGATAAACGTTAAATAAAATATTTGAATAAATACACATACGATAAAACTAAAAAGAGCGTGGAGAATTAAAGCAAGTAGATGAATGGCCAAAAGTGCGGATTGCAATGCTTGACCTAACTCGTAAATAAATAAATATTTACTAGAGGAAAAGATGAGTAGCTTTAGATTGATGGTGAAATTCAACGGTGGATGTTGATGATCATCCCAAACCCTTATCACGTTCACATGCTTTTATATTCCTGATTAATTTAAAAGAGGTTAGTCATCTCTGGTGACATTTCAACCCGTTTATTTATTTTATTTAATCCACCAAATCAAAATCTCACACGAGTAAAGGGCATACCAAAAAGATATGCCCCATCGCTATCTTACACGTGTCATCCCGACCAAAACCTCCACTCACCTAGGAGAATTCTCAGCCACGAGAATCATGATTCTTCGGAAAGTCGACTCACAC